GAGGTGTCTCTCTCATATGTATGTATATATATATATATATACATATACACCGGGAAAGCATAAATACAAAGACAAGTACAGACATGTACGTATGGCTGCACTATATTTACGTGCCCCTCTTCTTGAGGTTCTCAGCCTTGTCAATAGTGAGACAGGGGTTTCTGTCAGACAGGGATTCCATAAGATTCGATAAGGGTTCTGTGAGACAGCAGTTCCCAATGCTTACGGGCACTGCAACAGCTCAGAGCATCATTTGTGTATGTTTGATCTTGAAGCTCGTTCGTGGCCACTCCTCATCGAGTTCCCAATGCAGTCAAGTTTGGCTCATGGCACATACATTCATAAATCGGCACAAAAGTGGTGCCAACACCCAATCGGGGCACGTACAGGCAGCCTGGTCACATATACATACAGTACGTATCTATGCATGCCTATGGATGCGTGTACGTATGCATGTATGTTTGGCCATCTCGTAGTGTGATGTCAGGTCATGTCATGTAATTCAATACAATGCAACGTAGAGACTGTCATGTCAGGTAATGTCGTGTCGTGTCATGCGATGCGACTTGATGTAACACATGGTCTCAAGTGGGCCTGCGGTTTGAGGCGCCTCATGGGCTGCTCTTCGAGCACAGTGACTGAGGAGTTTGGTGGCCGGGCCCTTCCATTCATGAAGGCTTGAGTAAATTTCACAGCTTCTGCTGTGGTGCTCTAGACAGTTCCAGCGACGTTTCGCCCTCAAGGCAAACACACTGCGCGTGTGGCAGACTGCAGCGTCAACTTCAAGGAGTCTGCATCTCTGTTTCCGAGCCCCCCACTCCGAACGAGCATGTCTTTTGGGTTTCAACGTCATTCCCCCTAGCAGAAGAAGCCCGCACGATGAGTCGTTTCAGCGGCGAAATACAAGGAATTTTGCTATATGGGGGGAGGGGCCAATATACAAATCAGGCGCTTGACGCCTCTGTGCAAGGACGGCCAGGAGGTTTCTTGCGACTTCAAGGACCGCATTCCGGCACTTCTGTGAGTGCCCTAGTGATGCATGGTGCTTGGCATTACTGACCAGAGCTTTTCACGCTTTCTCACCGGCTGATGTCCGAGTCAGGGCTTGGAGAGTTTGTCCTTGGACGGTTTGCGCTTGTACGTAGAAAATTGTATCTTCTTGTGCGCTCTACTCTGTCTGCCAGGAGGGCTTGCTAAGCTTCGAGTCGATGTCATGTGCCCGAGTTGTGCAAAAGAGCTCGGAGTGCCATATGTTTGTGCCGTCTATTGCTTATTTCGGCCATGCGCAGTTCATGAGTGTGTGAATTCGGCTAGTGAGATACGGTGTCACTTGAGTTTGCCACGGAAACGCTGCCTTGCGCAGTGGGCAGGTACGGATGACGGTGACAACCACCCTGGGCGGCCGACCAAGGCCAACATATGCTGCTTCGTTTCGGCTTCTCCGGTAGGTCCTTTGCCCGTTTGCAGTTTTGCAGAGTTTTAGGGTTTATGCAGACACTCATGTGGCAGTCGCTAATCATGTGTCGATGAACTTTGTAATAAGGTTTTGGATTGGGGGTTGACTGATGAGCAACCGGTCAACCGCCGCCTGTTTGGCGTGCTCCGGAAGGCCACGCACAAATCGCACATAGCCCGGACGCTGGACGGCAATTGGACACATCAAAGCCGTCTTTCCAGCACAGGCAGAGTGAAGCATTACAACAGGTGTGATGTTGCGTTTTTTTGATAAACTCCTGTTGTCATAGTTTTCGTGAAGCCGAGCCGGAGGATGGCAGATTCCCACCGTGCAGGAGTGGCTGCTTCCAAATCGGATCGTCATTCGGTGTACCGTTTACATGAGGATGCTTGTGGCCTGTTCTCGTTTCGGTCAAAGACGACAGTCGTTGAATCCCGGCCAGGGCAAGTCTTAGGGTGGGAGTCTGATTGCGGCTGGGGGTGGCAAGTGGATGCGACTCGTGCATCCACGTCGCGTCTCCACTGCAGTCAATCAGTTGAAGGTGAAGGGCGGAGAAAGATCAAGATTGTGCCGCATCAGGTAGAAGGGCCGTAGAGCCGTAGAGGGCCTGGTACCAAATTAAGGCGAACTGAACGAAGGGGACATATGCAGAAGAAGGTGCGAACAAGCCGACGTCTCCATCTCTTAGGCTGGACAAGTACCTGAAGCTGATTCAGAAAGATCCCGAACTTCTCAACAAGGACGTCCGTCACCACAGCACAGCACTTCAGGAGTCTTTGCATCTCAACTTCAGGACGTCGTCATTCGCAGAGTTGTGGAGATGTAAACGATTCGTTACATTCCTCGTTTCACCCTTGGCCGTAACCGGCCCGCAAAAACATTTCGCTTCGTTTCAGACTATCTGACGGTGCTCCTGCCGTAATTGTGCTTCCAGGTTCAGTTTAAGGAGCAGCCCGGTCGTGTGGTGAGACTCCCGATCCACCACACGCTCGCTGTCGACTGGGGCCTGCGCGGAGTTGATCCTCTCCTTTTTTTAGAATGCGAGCTCAGAGAGCGCATTCGGATTTCTGTTCCCCATTCAGGCATCCGAAGGCCTTCAGGCAGAGCGGAGCTCGCCAAGTTGGGCGGATGCCTTCGCCAAGTCGCGTTTTAGAGAGCCCGGGTTCTGGGTTTGTGGCTCAGGCCATTTACTGTTGACTCGTGCGTCGAGGGCCGAGTGCTTCTTTCCTTTCCTTCAGGACTTATGACTTATGCGGGGCATCGCCAAGCGCTGTCACCGAATGCCATGCTCCCTTTCAGGGCCTGGCAAAGGCTTGCACGTCATGTGCAGAGCTGAAAAAGCAAAGCAGACATGCCGGTGCCCTTTGCCGAGTAGTAGGAGAAGGCATTTTTCAGGCTCCGGATTTCGGGTCCTCCGTTCTCATCGGCTTCTGGGCTCCAAGCGAGATCTCGGGCGAGCTGGAGCTCCAAGCGGGGTTGCCGCCTCAGAGGCCCGGGCCGGCCGGGAAGTTCTCCATGGAATTCATCGCTCCGTGCAGGCGATCTCGCCGCACCGAAGGCTCAAACGAGGTGGATCGATGGCCAGGCTGTGCCCTTTGTTCCGGCTCAGGTCATGCATGCGCGGCCGAGCCCGCAAGGCCAGAAAACTGGTCTACTTTTTTGGCGCGGCTCTGGGCGTTTGCGGAAGCTGCGTAGAAGGTTGGAGCCAGTGGCCCGTGACGGTCTCAGCGCAAGCCGCGGCCGGAACCTCAGAAAGCACAGAGACGGAGGTTGGTGGTCCAGACTTTACTCTGTGACGTAAGGCAACTTCGCCACAAGTTCAGGCGGTTCAGGGGTCACGGAGTCAGGACCGGGTCCTGCCCAGAAGTCCTGGGTGCTGTTGAAGTGGATACTCGGATACTCCGGCAGGGCGCAGCACCGCCCTTCCCGTGCTTACCGACTAGCCTGAGCAGGCTGGAGAACATGCTCCTTGGTCCACACATGTCCACACATGGAAATCTTGGCTCAGGCAGCATTTGCCAGATCGGGAGCCAGGCTCTTTCACCCCTCCTGCAGGCGTCGGGACGCCCAGCTATGCCCACACAAGCGCTTGGCAGCCTAGTCACTTGGAAAAAGGTGGCCGGCTTCGGCCCCCCAGCCAGCCGTGCGGGGAACTCCAGACGTACAGTGCCCTCTCTCTCCCTGAACAGTTGAAAAAAATGTCGAGGTCCCCAGCCGGCAAGGGACGCCACCCTCAACAGCCCGCTCCACCCTCGTTTAGACTCTGTTCTAGTCGTTGGGGGCCGCATCTGCGGGGTGTGGGTCAGGTGCGACATCTCCCGAGAATCCAACTGCCGTCATTGTGGCATCCAATCAGGGGCGGGCGCCTCATGCACGGGAGTCTTAATGTCATTGTGAGCGGCGAAAGCTCTCTTTTGAGTGCGCACGCGCATCAGGGTATCCTTCCCACGATCTCCGGGCAAAACGTCCCAGCCACGGTCTTTCTCGGACCAGGGCGGTCGGTTTCTTCGCAGACTACTGCTCAGTCTGCAGGCGGACGGGGCAATCGGGGCCTGGGCTGCCCAGTGGCAGCACAAAGACGACTCCGAAGCCTGCAAATCGTCAGGCTCAAGTGGCAGCCGCGTGGAGTGGAGGAAAGTCCCGCAACCTGCAGGTCCTATCCTTCGTGCCGGGGTATGGAGTCCCAGCCGATTGTGAGGTGAAACCTGCAGCTCCGGAGTTTGAGAGGCGCCCCGGCCCGAATGGTGGAGGTGCCTCACAGCGACAGGCAGACAGGGCCGGGATTGGATGAACCCCACCGAGCTCACAGTTTAGCGAGAGGCCCAGCACGGAGCGTCCTCGGGCGGCTCGGGCATCTACCTTCCAGGTCGCAAAGACAGCTTCTCGGTTCCTGCGCCGCATGCGCGCGCTGCGCGTGGGCGCAGGCGACGGCGAGCTCCGGGCCGCCCCAGCCGCGGCCGGGGCCGGGGCCCTGGCACCACACTGACTTCGCACTGACTTCGCGCTGTGCGCGCTCCGTGCGCGCGCCGGCCCAGGCCCAGACCCAGGCCTCGAAGGCGCGGCGCGGCCGCTCGCAGTGCGATGCAGCACGAGATGTGCAGAGCGTCTGACCGTGCTCTCTCCGTCTCCCCGCGGGCTCTCCGAAAGGCGCAGATGCGGGGCGCCTCGGTGGGACGAGCTGCCACTCTGTCGCTGCCCCAGTGCGGGTAGCGCGGGAAGTGATTTTGCCTGACTTTTGGCTCTGCGGCTTTCAGGGAAGCTCGAACCTCGCCACGGGCCACCAATGAGGCCTCAACCCGGGGAAAAGCCACTAGTCTCACGTCGGTCAGGACAGGTGTCCTTGCGTGTGTGTAACTGTGGGGATGCAGTTCCGGTACTCGCACAGCCTGATCGACGCAACTGGTCGGTCAGATGAGGCGCCCTGCTATTCAGGCATTTGGAAGCCTTCCACAAACGCTAGAACCAACTGAAGTTTGCCTCATCTGCCTGCGATCCTTCACTCTTCCAGGCCTCGCGCCATTCAGACGACACCATACCGGAGGCTTGGCAACGGAGTGCTAAGTGGAATTCAGGATTCGTATGATGAGCTCCTGCGCCCACGCTCGAGAAACCAGTGATCGGCATGTTGTGGAGGAACTTGAGTTTCGCATCTGACATGTTGTGACATCGACACTCGCCCTTGGTGCTTAGTCTCCTCCCAAAAACAGGCGGCCTGGCCGGAGCGTCGGCTCCATGCCGCCGGGGAGGCGGGATGGAGTTACCGGGGCGAGCATCCTGACGAGCCGTCTCAGGAGCACTCAGAAGACGAGCGTGGCCCTCGTCCGACACTTCTTGAATACCTGCGATGCTGAAGATTGCAGGCGTGCACGGCTCCAGCGCGAGCTGCGCATGCGAGAGGCGCGGTGCATGGAGCTGCAGGTGGGCTGTTGAGCTGTGAGGGGTGACGGACCAGAGCCATCCTCGGGCACAGGAAAGGCTCGAGGGCCGCGAGCGCAACGTGACCGCCCGCGAGGCCCGGCCGTGTCGGTGTGCCCATTTTTGGGTCTCGTGGAGCTTTTCATCCCGAGCGTGAGCTGGTGCTCCCCCGCGGCAACCTCTAGGTATCATAAACGCTAAGTACGAAAACCATGGTTTCGTGTTCGTCTGGCCATCATCATGATCGTTGCAGGGCTATCTACTCTCACTATGCATGCCACAGTCACCCGTCGTCATTGCTGTCATCTCATCACTTCCATGCTCAAAGATGCCGGTCTGTGAAAGGGGCTGGCTCTTGCAGGGGCACTCTCCTAAATCAAGAAGCTATAAGGCTACCGGCGAAGGTCGGAAGGGATACCCCGATCTCTTTATTTTTTGGGTTCGGAGATGATGGCCCGATTGTTTTGCTTGACGATGTTGTGCCCGCGTGCAATCGGCCAGCACCCGATTGCAGAACAGCTCTGCTTCGGCTATTGAATGGTCTTGACACTTCTCACGCCCTCAGTCCGACCTGGTCTCTCGTGAGAAGCGCGTCGCCGACAGGGAGGTGGGGGTTTGGGGGGGGAGTGGGGCGGCCTTGCGGGTCTTTGGGGTCGCTGCCTCAAGGCCGACTTGGCGAAGATGTTCGATCGGCTCACCGAGCGGGAGGACGCCTTTGCTCGGCCTGGGAGTCAGGAACCAGGGCCGGCCCCTGAAAAGACGGCGCGAGGAGCAGCAGCGGAAGGAAAGCCAAAGTCGCCGGAAAGCCGAGCTGAAAGCGCAGAGCGCCCGAGCGCGCCTAAAGAACCCACCGGAAGAGTCTCTGAGGCCTGGCAGAGCTCAGCTCCAAGGAGGAGGGCCTGAAACTGCAGCTTCAGGAGCAATGCTGAGCATGGCGAAGCGCAGCGACTTAGGACTGCAGGTAGCCGAGGCTTCGAGTCCGCTGAAGAGGACGCTCGGGACCGCAACGCCGACCTGCACTGCCGACAAGCAGACCTGGACCAGCGCGAGGCCAAGCTGCGAGCTGAGGAGGAGAGAGCGCCTCGCGCATGCTCGCACATGCTCCCGCATGCTTTTGCCCTCGCTTAGAGGAGCGCTGCCGGGATCTAAAGCGTGGTCTTGACGAACGGGATGCTCGCTGGCACGAGGTGCTCTCCGTGGGCTCACTTCTCTCCTTCCCGGGTCTCATGTCGAGGCTGCGAAGGATGCCTCGCTGGTCCTGAAACCGCACCTGAAGCCGCGCATGTCCCGCTGCCAGAGATGCGGGGAGTGTGATTTTGAGGAGAATCTGAGAAGAGTGCAAAGGACAAAGGATGGTAAAGGGTGGAGAGTGGCTTTGCTTGCGTACGTGAGGTCACCCCGCGGCAAAGAGAATGTCGAGCTGCAGCGGCAACTGGAGGCATGGAGCTAACTTAATCTCAATGAGTGGATGACAGTGGGCAGTCGCAGGAGCAGCGGGGGCTCATGCACAAAATCAAGCGTCCGGAGCCTGGAGTCCGGAGTGGCAAATCTCAGAGCCCTTGCCGCCACAAGGTAAGCAGGACAGCTGGGCAGCTGAAGGCGGAAGCACAGGCAAGAGACACAGAGAGAGAGGAGAGCCCTCCAAGCTCTTGCCGAGGCTTGGAAGAAAGTGGCCGCGGCCACCGCGACAGCTTCGGCAGCGAGGTTGCGGCCGAGGCCGTCCACCGAGTCCTCTGCGTGACTTGCTGCAGGAGACGGTCACCGGACCCGGCTACTGAGCCCTGAAGCGTACTGAAGCGCATCGCTGCCATCGCTAGCAGTCACCAGCAGCAGGTCTGCACACAAATGGCGCACTCCAGGGTGTTGGGCTATTCAGGACAAGCGACGCGAGCATGGGTGCCCAGGGGAGTGTAGGGCTCTAGGGCATGGCTGGGGAGATTCGCCATGCGCGGAAAAATGGAGTGCTCTTGCTGTTGCTCGCCGTCTCTGCTTTAAGTGATGCGCCTGAAGACATGGATGCAGACCTGTGGGTTTGCAGGCGGAGTAAATCCCGTGAGAAAGGACCAGAAAGCTTGGTAGTAGCAGCGAAAGCACCGAAGAAGCTTTGGAGCAGTAGAGGCGGAGGCGAGCGGAGGCGAGCCATGCAAGCCGTGTTCGCTCTCGCCCTGACCGATGCTTCGGCGCAGCGAGGCGGTCACAATGCTCTGCCCTGCCGTCGCCGATGTGTCTCGTCTTCCGAGGCCCGCAGCGACCGCCACAACGGCACGCGCCCGGCGGAGCAGCACGCTGCTCACGAGCCAGGTGCGAACGAGCAGAGCAAGCCGTCTTCCTGCTTGCTTCAGTTCCTCGCCTTTGCGACTTCTGCTTAGCATGTTGCTCTTTGCCACTCTGTGCTTCTTTTTGACAAGCGATGCCTCGCCCTGCAAATACTTGTGCCTCTGAGTTTTTTGAGCGCTCCTTCTCAGACGGCGCTCTTCCGGGCCTCCCCGAGGAGGAGGAGGCGCAGACGGCAGCAAAAGCAGGGTCACAGTAGAGCAGTTTAAAACTCTCTCTCTCTCTCTCTGTTTCACTCCCTCTCTATCTCTCTCGTCTTGTGGAGGCTGAGGCGGCTGAGGATGGCAACAGCGACGAAGGCTCAGAGCATCCAGTCTCTTGAGGGGAGGACAGCTCGCGTCCATAACTCGGCGCTCGCGCTGCTTTGCCAGGCCTTCAAACTGGATATCCGGGTGGAGCGGACGAGTGGGAGGAGACGAGACGAAACCATGTCAAGGAGTGCGGTCTTAGGAAACCTGCAGGAGATCTTCGCCTGTCCCCTCAGCATCCGCTTCACGCAGGTTGCGCCGTTGCGCAGCTCTGCGAAGGTAAAAAATGAAAGCTGTCAGGACAAAATCCACCCCTTCTTCTACCGGTCGCGGCCTGAAGCAGCTTCAAGAAGAGGTGAGTGTCGTGGTCGTGATGGTGGTGGTGGCGGTGGTGCTGCACATAGCTTTCTATTACACACGGCTTTGTTGATCCAAAAGTGTATCTTTGGATGGTTGATAGTTGCAATGGGCTAAAGCGGGAGCAGGACAGGTGGGGGGAAAGGGTGTCTTGCATGCGTAAAAGACTATGCTAAACGGCCATGCTGACGACCTCGCAGATGCAGACAGTGCGAGTGTGATGGTGGAGAGGAGGTATCGCTGACGTGTTTCAAGCAACAATTGGTGGCCACGATGTGCCGTGTTTTAGTCCGACATGTGTTATTCGGCAGCATTGTGCTTATTCTGCCCCGCTTTTTGGCCGTCAGGCGGTATGTACTGCACATTTCTTACAGGCGAACAGGGCCCTTGCGCCAAAACTCCCCTCCGCTGCGGCCAAGGGCTCTGCTGATGCGCGTGATGCGTTAGCCGGTGAATGGCGCGAAAAGTGTTCCGTGCCGCAATGGTGGGCCGCCTTTCGAAGGCTTCGCCTTTGGAGCTTCGCCTCTCAGACAGGGCAAGCTGCGCTACCCGACCTGTGTTCCAACGAGTACACCCTTCGCGCCGCCCTCACTGCCACCGCGTCCCATCACCCAGGTCCAACCGCCCTTCACCCCAAGCCCCTCGGTCGCCCCATTTTGCTTTCCTTCAGGTACACCCACCACGCAGTCCTCACCGCCGACCGCACCCCCGCGTGCCCACATGTCTGTGATTAGGCCTCGCTGCCCCCCCCCCCCGGCCTTCGAGCTCTGCTTTTTGCGTCGATCGGCTCCCCCCCCCACACAGTGTTTGCATCTTCAAAGAATGGTTTCGTTTTGCCTCCCAATGAGTACACCCGCCACGCCGCCCTGACCGCACACTGCACCTCTACATCCCACCCCCCCCTCGCCTTCCGCTTCGCTTCGCCCTCCCTCGCTCCATCACCCAGCATCTCTGCCCCGACAGCTTCCAGTTTCCCATGCAGCGTCTAACATACGAGAGCTTGTGTCGATGCAAGCCAGCTGGCAGAGCGGAGTGTGAAGTCAGGCCAGGGGAAGGAGGAGCGACTTGGGCGGTGATTGTCAGTGGGTGGGCAGCCTTTCCACTGCTTCTTCAAGGAGCACGGGGGGAGCGGGGTCAGTGGATTCTAGAGCCGTCGGAAGGGCAGTGTAACGGCCTCTATAGGGCTTGAAAGCGGCATGGACCAAGTCGCGGGCCGATTGTCAACGTTCTTCCCAAGATCCGAGCCGTCCCGAGCCGCTCGGATGGTCCGGTGCTCGGCTCGGGCTCGGCCGGCTCGGCTCCGGGCGCTGTCGCTCTCAGGTGACGAGGTGCTGGACCTGGTTCCTCCCTTCGCACCCATCCACTGCCTTCAGAAGGCCTCCTTTTAATGCGTTTTTCCGATGTTGCAACTAGAGGTGCACGGAGGTTCGTGCGAACTGCAGGCCTCTTTGGACCGTATAGAAGTTCCGGGGCGGGCCATGGCGGATGCGCGTGCGCTCGGCGATCTCGGTGCTTGGGATGGGCAACGGCTTCGGCTTCGGCGGCTTCGGCGGCTTCGGCCTCCGGCCTGCCGAGCACGCGGCCTTGGCAGCTGGCGAGAGGGGGAAGCTGAGCTCGAGCTCCTCGGCGTCCTCGGCGAGCTCTACTGCGAGCGCTTCTTCGTTCTCCTCCCTTTCACTTTGCGTGCCTGCCCAGCTCACGGAGGCCGTCTACACTGCCCTCGCTGAGGCGGATTGCATACCAAGGCGGTGGCACCCTGAAGGACGCGAAGGAATCTCCATTCAGGACAGACCGCTCTTTAGAATTCTAGGAGTTTCGCGAGGTTGCCCGGTCTTGCCCTGGAGGCGGTACCAGAGCAGCCTGCGAAGCGGCTGTTGCCACTCTTGGATGGGTCGCAAGACAGGTGAGAGGTCCAAGGTCGCAACGTCTCAGCTCTCGATTTCACGGTTTGTGTCATGCCCCTGAAGGCTTCCTGGGCTGGTGTCTTCGCTGCTGTGCCTCTCATGCAAGGAAGTCTTCAGCGCAGCTTGACTATATGGAAATCTCCGGCTGAGGTCGGAGGGCCGGGCGGAGCTCGTGAGGAAAAGGACGAAGTGGCGCAGCGGGCCTGGCTCGCGGCGCCAGGTGGAGGACCTGCCCGCGATACCCTTCGTGAGCCCAGAGGCACGGAGAGAAGCGGGTTCCGGGTGAGGCATTCTCTGGCAGCTCTCTCTCTCTCTCTCTCTCTCTCTTGGCCCAGGCTCAGGGCAGCTTCAGCTTTGCGGAGCTCTTCGCGGGGATAGGAGGGTTTCGGCTCGGACTTGAGAGCCTCGGCGGTCGCTGTGTCTTTGCCTCGGAGATCGAGCCCTTCACTCGGGAAGTCTACACGCTCAACTTCGGTAATTGCCCGGAAGTCCTTGGAGACATACAGATGGTTCAGGCCAGGAGTTGTCTTGCCTTGCCAAGCCAAGTTGGCAATGTTTGGACACAGGATGAGGACATCCCGCCGCACGACATGCTGGTGGCAGGCGGCTTCTGAGGGATTAGAGTGACGTGCCCGCCAGTTGCTCTGCCCGGCCAGGCTTTCCGTGCCAGCCCTTTTCCGGGCTGGGGGAGCAGCCTGGTTTGGAGGACCCAAAGGGCCGGGGCCTCCTCTTTCGCGAGGTCTGCCGGGTCTTGAGAGCCCGTCAGTGTCCGCTCTTCCTACTCGAGAACGTCCCCGGCCTGGCAGAGACTGATGAGGGCAAGGCCTTGAAGGCTATCAAGGAAGAGCTGACGGCTTGCAACTACGATGTGGAGTTGAGGACGCTGAACGCCAAAGCCTTCACGGCCCAGTGTCGGAAGAGGATCTTCTTCATCGGCTTTCGCCAGGACCTGGGCCTGGCTCGGCCGGGAGATCTCTCCGAGATTTTTCCAGACTTGAGTTTGCGGGCGAGGGACATCTTCGAGCCGGAGGAAGAGCTGAGAGCTTCTGAGCCGCTGCTCTCTGCATACACGCTGTCAGAGGAACACTTCCGAAAGCTTCAAGGCTGCAAGAAGTGGTCCAGGCGGGGTTCTTAACTTGCCCAAATAAGGCAGGGGTCGGTGAATAAGCTCCGGAGCTTTCCCGGCAGACCGTGTGTAATCGTTTGCGGCTTTGGATTGGAAAACACGTTTGGTCCCAAACGGCCCTGCCAACTCCCTGGCTTTATAGTTAGCTGATACTTTGCCCCGTTTGTGTAATAATGCCACCGTCAACCCATTAGATGATCATTCCTAGGGTCCCCCCCACACTTCACCGATATGTCACTACTACTTCCCCATTAGATGATTATTCCTAGGGTCCCCCCTACACTTCACCGATATATCACTACTACTACCCCATTATCAATACAATTCTAGGAATAACCATAACCCTATCTATTTTCTCTAAGGTGGCATTATTACTCAAAAGGGGCGAAGGGTTCCTTATAGGATTTGGTTCAGGGTTTAGGGTTAAGGGTTTTAACTGCATTGTAATTATAATATATAACTGCGAACAGACCTCGATGCCTCTCACAATTCTGAGGTATCGCTATATGAGC